GACCCGGAGGCTTAAAACTCACTCCGGGCATGTGTGCGTGCGTGCCCAAGATCCCGAGAGGAGAATGGAGGAGAAGGGATTGAGGCGTGATCATCCTCCCTAGGGGGTGATTTCTCGCTTTCTGTCTCTATGTCTCTCTCTGTCTGTCTGGGGAGCGCACGTGCCCTATAGCGAAAATCTCTCCAAAAAAATAAAAAGAAATTACAGGGAATGCATAAAAAGGGTATTTTGCCAGACCATAGGGCTCAGGGAAGTTGAGACCTAAAGGATGAGTATAAGTTAGGCAAGCATATTTAATAGGTTTAGGAGTCATATTAACAATTTCATGAATTTTTCTTTTTTTTTTTTTTTTTGAGAGATTTTCACTATAGGGCGCGTGCGCTCGCCAGACAGACAGAGAGAGACATTAGAGACAGAAAGCGAGAAATCACCCCCCAGGGGGGATGGGCACGCCGCAGTCCCTTCTTCATTCTCCTCTCAGGATCTTGGGCACGCACGCACACGCGCCCGGCGTGAGTTTTAAGCCACCAGGTCCGGGACGCGAACCGCGGTCGACTACGTGGGAGTCCATAGCCATTACGCTAACTTCTGGTTCCCTGAATTTTTTATAATAAGAGGAGGCATATCTGTTACTATATGATGATCACTGTATTAGTCACTTCACACCTAGTGGTAATAGAGCGTCTCTGAAGAAACAATAAGGCGTATGTGGTAGGGAGGGAAAGGGAGAGAGAAAGAAAGAGAGAGATTACAAGGAATTGGCTCATCCAGTTATGGAAACAGACAAATCCTAATCTGTAGTGTGGGCTGGCAGGCACAAGATGTGAGAAAGCCAATGATGCAGTTCTAGTCAGAGGTCCAGCAGGAGGAAACCCCTTGAGAGCCAAGGTATAGATAAAGTCCAAAGGCCCCCTGCTGTAGATATTTTTGTTATATGGTGGAGGATCAATTATTTAGTTCTATTCAGACCTTCAACTGTTTAGGTAAGGATCATCCACATTATGGAAGGCAATTCGCTGTACCCTATCAGTTAAGCTGTTAATCGAATCTGATGTTAAAGTCTAACAATGTAAGCGTTCATTTCATCAAAGCACCCTTACAGCAAGGTCGAGGATAATATTTGACTAAGAATCTGGACATCCTATGGATCAGTAAAGTTGACACATAACATAAATCATTTAACCTCAGCTAGTATAGCTAAGATTTGGAAAAAAAAAAAAAAAAGAAAAGAAAGAGAGAAAATGAAAGAGCAAAACAGTTAAGGGCAGACTTCTGTTTCAGTCCTGTCTTCTACCTGTGACAGCTATGTAACTTCAACAAGTCACTTCTGTGTTAGTCAGCTTAGATAGCCATAACAAAACAACATTGATGGGTGACCTCAACAACAGGAATTATTTCTCACAGTTTTAGAGGCTGGGAAGGCCAAGATCAGGATACCAGCTGAGTACATTCCATAGTAAGTGCTCTCTTCCTGGCTTGCAAATGGCCATCTTCTGTATCTTCACAAGGAGAGAGAGAGACAGCAATCTCTCTGGTGTCTATTCTTATAAAGGCACTAATCTCATTATGAGAAGGACCACCTCATGAGCTCATCTAAATCTAACTACTTCCCAAAGGCCCCATCTCCAAATATCATCACATCATGGGTTAGAGAATTGACATATGAATTTGGGAAGGGGTTGGGCACAATGGATCCTTATGAATAAAATGTAAATAGTAATGGCACCTATCTCATAGAGTTATGTGATTTAATTTACATAAAGTCTTGTCACTTATAAGTCAATAAATCTCTTATTGTTTTATGTTATTTTGTCTCTGAGATGAATTTGTGAAGGGAGGGAGGGAGGCTGAACTAATTTAGCCTAAAGCCTAAGTACATTCAGTGAAGTTGGAGGCAGCAGCATTAGCTCAGGCAGTAGAGAGAATACCTAAATGTGGAGCATGAGAGAGAAGTAAGCTTTTGAAATAGAACTTATGTGTAGTGGGAAAGCAATTCTAGAAAGCTGAGGTGGCAAAATTCCTCTAGCACAGCTGAGAGTCAACTTGAAATATCTAGATTTAACACCTTCCTTTTTGCAATAGCGTTAGGAACCAAGAGATGACCTTGAGAGACAGCAAAGGCCTGATTCTTAACTTTGCCCAGAAACGTGGGCCTATCATTAACCACAATGAACTCAATAGCCTCACAAGTTGGTTATAAGGATATATAATATATGAGAACACACACACAAACAAAACAATAGTGTATCGCACCTATCAAGGATATTTATACTTAATATTTTCCTACCTCTTTTTCCTTCTCAAGGTCACACATAAGGTCTAGGAACAGAAACCAGATGTTATGCTTCTGTAACTTAATTGTTTCTACTACACCAGACTATTCTTTCCCTTGTCTTTACATAGCCCACAGCATATCAGGCTCAGCATCTTAGGTGCATGGCAAAAGAAAGGAAGTCAGAAGTCAGCCCTACTCTGCTCCCAAGCTCTGAGGGGCAGAAGTAACTCCATTTACCTCAGAGACTTAGCCAACAGGCCAATATGAATGCACCAACAACAGGTGAAATCCCAACTGATGACGAACGTGATGGTGAACACTTTCAACAAGAAATATTCTGTGCCAGGAACTGAGCTAAGCCTTTCAAATGCAAGCTCCTGGCCTCCCCACAACACCTCTCTGAGGAAAGTACTATTCTGAGGAAAGTACTATTCTTATCTCTATTTTTTTAGTTAAAAACACTGAGACAATAAACAAGAGAATCCTGGAAGCTGGGCTTCATTTCTAATCACCAGGAGTCTGGAGACAAGATTAGCTGAGTTCTAACTGATCCGTCAATTTCCACCTGACACCTATGCTTGATGGATTTAAAAATGGGATTTGAAGTACACAGAATATAAGGTAGTATAAGTATATAATTGCCAAGATTGCTTTATGAACATTCAACCCGTCCTTCATCATAATCCTAGGTGGGATATAATTGCCAATATTCAATTGTAAGCACAATAGCAAGGGTAGTAAATTTCCTAAAATATACCTTTACCCTCCCCATCCACATACACCACCCATTAACATATGACCTGTTCTCAGACCCACCTGAAAGTATAAAAACACACAAATGTATTTGCTTGTAAAGCCTGTGGAGTTGAAGCTTTCTGACATTCAGGCAGTTAACCCTCCTGTTAAAAGCCCTCACCACTACAACAGCCTGAGGCACAGTGAAAGAAAATGTCAATGATATCCAGAATGTTCAAGTGAGTAAATGGGCTTCTCTCCAAGGCCCCAGGAAAGAGCAAGCTGAGCTTAGTAAAAACACAGTGGGAATCTTGCAGTATTTGCCAAGTGCAGTGCAGGGACATTCATATCATCATGTTCATGGGAGGGAACTCTGGATAGTCATCCTTCTGCCCACCTAAATATTAACAAGGAGAACTGCAATATGAGGCAGGGGGATAAAACATGGAGATAATGCTTTTGCTTTCTGTCACACACACACACACACACACACACACACACACACAAAGATGAAAAGCAAAATCTTCTTTAAATAATCACAAAATGATGTAGACAAATTGACTGCTGATTAAAAACTATTACCTAAAAAAAACAAAATTAAGTTTAGACCCAATTTTACTAGAACCCATCACACATGAGGATACTTTAAAATCCATGTTTTCACTGGAGAATCAATTGGTAGGGGTTCTTTGGCACATGACTCTGTCTGAAATAATTTAATAAGGTTCAAGGCTGATGATTATGTTGGTCTTTTTTGCCAGATGCATCACTGGAAATCAGATTCTATGAACCTGATTTCAAAATATCCACAGTTTTTGGAGATTTGAAGAGTTTTTTTCTGTTTGTTTTGTTTTGTTTTCCTTTAGGCAGTTGTTGAGAATCACAGATATCTATCTGAAGCTGCAATTCAGCAAAACCATATTTCTGTAAAAATTTGATAAGCAGATTTAGCATCAAAAATATTATTTTTCAACTATATTTATCAGAAAGTATTCTATACAGTATATGCATTGCTCTTCCACTATAGGAAAGCTCTCACGTGATATCAAGAAGTTTTTCAATATAAAGCACAAAAATATCAATAGGTAAGTTCATAAAATAAAAGCGCATGTCAGTTGTGACTCAGATATGGTAACAGGTAAATTTTTTTGGGGGGGAGAGGTTTTTGCTATAGGGCGCGTGCGCTCGCCAGACAGACAGAGAGAGAAAGAGAGACAGAAAGTGAGAAATCACCCCCCCGGGGGGATGGCCATGCCACAGTCCCTTCTCCATTCTTCTCTGGGGATCTTGGGTACGCATGCACACGCAACTTAGCCACCAGGTCCAAGACTCCACGGCTGACTGCATGGGAGTCCAGAGATATAACCATTACGCCAACCGCTGGTCCCGGTAACAGGTGATTTTTAAGCAGTCCCATGATCTGGTCTGATAGGAGGCAGTCCTCTTAGCCTACATGAGGACCAACTCAATTCAAAATAGAATACAGTACCACTTTTAAGGGGAAAAAGTAATATTGAATGAATTCAACTACTTTCTTTTTAAGATCAGATAATCCCAAAGTGTAATTTGAACTTTAAGACAATTTTCCACTTTCTAGAGAGTTTCAGCTATTTTGGACTGTGACAGGCAACTGGCATAGCAATGCAAGGCATATCTCAGTTCATTTTTCTGTTGCTCCTTCCTTTTGGAGTATAAGCTGACAAGAACAATTCAAGGTGCTCTGATAGAAAGCCTCTGATATCACATTATCTATAGATCATTGCAGTACCTGGAGCGGCTTAGGCAAAGCCATTGCCAGTTCATAGACTTGTACTGAATAAGAATAAAGGAACAACATTTTTAGGGCAAGTATCGAATCCTGAAATTAATTTTGCTATTTCATTGAAAGAATGGCTCTTTACATCAACCACTTAGTAAAAAGGGGTGGAAAGAAATCACAGGAAGCTCTTTCTCTCTGTCTTCTTCAGCCATCTTGGCTTGTGAGCCAGACCAGTTGAGGATACAGCTTGTCTCTGCCACTTAGTAGCTGTGTGAATTTGGAAAAGTTTATTAACATCTTATTGTTTCAGTTTTCTCTCGTTAAAAGTGGGGGCACTAGGCTCAGCTGTGGTGGCTTGCACTGCTAAGACATTGTTCCACAGTCTGGGACCACATAGGATGCCTGGGTTCAATTACCAGTCCAACCTAAAGGTCCAGCACAGTGGCACACACCTGTAATCCCAGTGACTTGAGAGGCTGCGGCAGGAGGCTCACAAGTATAAGACTGGCTTGAATAATATAGTAAGACCCTGTCTCAAGTGAGGGGGTGCCTGGGTGTGCTGGCACATACCTGTCGCCCCAGCTGGGAGGCTGAGGGAGAGAATCACAGTATGCAGAGACTCTGATGGTACCCACATCATGGAGTTTTTGTAAGAATTACATAGGTCGGTAAGTTGATATTTGTAAAGCACTTCAAACAGTGCATAGCACATGGTGTTTAAGGCATATTAAGTTGATACCACTATGGTTATCAACATGGGCTAAATGCATCCTCCTTCTTAAATACATAGTCTCATGCTTTCCCAAATATCAGCAACATTTTATGACAATAATCTATCTCTAGACCCATTATATTTCTTTTTTTTTTTTCGCTATAGGGTGCGTGCACTCACCAGACAGAGAGAGACATAGAGACAGAAAGCGAGAAATCATCCCCCAGGGGGGATGGTCACGCCTCAATCCCTTCTCCTCCATTCTCCTTTCGGGATCTTGGGCATGCACGCACACGCACCCAGCGGGAGTTTTAAGCCACTGGGTCCGGGACGCAAACCGCAGTCGACTACGTGGGAGTCCAGCGACATAGTCATTACGCTAACTGCTGTTTCCCAAGACCCATTATATTTCTTAAGCTCTGGATCTGCGTTGTGATCCATCGGCCTCTATGCTTTGTCTTCTCTTCTCAAATTTGCACTCTCTTCAGCTTCTGGTCCCAGTTGATAGTATTGTCATCACCAATCACTAAATACTTGCTACGTTATTATCTAGCACTTACTTGTAAGAGTTAGTTCATCAGTAGTGACCAAGGCAGACTTGATCTCTGACTTTATAGTATTTATAGGTCTCTAGGAAAAACAGATATTGACCCATTATCACATAATGACTACAACTAATAACTTGAAGAATGAAATGAAGAAAATATGCAATGGGGACATAAAATGGAAATACCTAACTTAATTTGAATGGTCAGGAAAACCACTAATTCATTTATTTGAGACATTTTCCAGGCACTCTCCTGAGTGCTAAGGATACAGAAAATACATATTAAAAAAAAAAAAAGTCTTACCCTCAGCCTGCATTAGAACAAAAAGAGACAAACAATAAATAAGCATATAATATGCTAGATAGAAATAGATGCCATCAAGAAACTATATAATAAACACAGGAGAAGAATATGATAGGTTATTATTTTATAAAGAGATTGCTTTGGAGGTTACCTCTTTGATAGGATCACTATTGAACAGAGATCTGAAGAATACTTGCTACGTTATTATCTAGCACTTACTTGTAAGAGTTAGTTCATCAGTAGTGACCAAGGCAGACTTGATCTCTGACTTTATAGTATTTATAGGTCTCTAGGAAAAACAGATATTGACCCATTATCACATAATGACTACAACTAATAACTTGAAGAATGAAATGAAGAAAATATGCAATGGGGACATAAAATGGAAATACCTAACTTAATTTGAATGGTCAGGAAAACCACTAATTCATTTATTTGAGACATTTTCCAGGCACTCTCCTGAGTGCTAAGGATACAGAAAATACATATTAAAAAAAAAAAAGTCTTACCCTCAGCCTGCATTAGAACAAAAAGAGACAAACAATAAATAAGCATATAATATGCTAGATAGAAATAGATGCCATCAAGAAACTATATAATAAACACAGGAGAAGAATATGATAGGTTATTATTTTATAAAGAGATTGCTTTGGAGGTTACCTCTTTGATAGGATCACTATTGAACAGAGATCTGAAGAAGGTACAGAATGGTGACTCTGCAGGAAGAGCCTCCCAATAGAGAAAACAGCAAGTGTCAAATGCCCTGAATTAGAAGAATGCTTGACAATGTTTGAGAACTAGGAAAAGGGTAGAGGAGAGCCCACAAAAGTGGAGTGGATAGAGGGTATCCATGAGGAAGAAGAGGGCAGAACCAATGGGTAGGCCATGATAAAGATGCCTTCTCTTCTAAGCGAGACAAGGAGCCACTGGGGGTGAAATCATCTATCAATAACATGTTTTCAAAGAATCATTCTGTGTAAAATTTGGGGTGAGGTAGAGGCAGGCAAGAATGGATGCTAAGTGGTCACTCTGGAAAGCTAATGCAGTAATTTCCAGGAAGAGATAATGGTCAGAATGGAGCTATAAGAAATGACTGGATTTTAGATGTATTTGAAGGCAGAACTAATAGGATTTAATTAATGGGTTGGTGATGAGAACTAAGAGAGAGATGATAAGGATGACTCCAAGGTGTTTGGCCTCAGCAACTAGAAGCTTTTAATGAAAAACCTTTTATCTCTGGGTTATTTGGGTAATTGGACAAAAATATTATGGGGAAGATTGAGCTAGGAAACATTTAGGGAAGTATGAGTTATAGGGGAAAAGGAAAGAATCACAACTATGCTTGTGGACATGTTAAGGGTGAGGTGCCTGATAGACATTCAAGTTTAGCACTGAAGAAGAGACATTCAAACTACTACCTTGAGGATGAATATAAATTATATGGGGGAAAGGGACAGTGGGTGAGGTAGAATGAGTGAGCGTCTGGATGGTATAGAGAACACTATTCTAGGCAGAAGCAATAGAAAGCACTTGGAATGATAGAAACACCTAGAAATGAGCTCAAACTTGCAAACTCCTTAGCTATGTGATCTTGCCAACTTACTTATAAAGGGGGTAATAATACAGCAGTCCTTTTTTTATCTATGGTGGATACATACTAAGATGCCCGTGGATGCCTAAAAGCATGCACAGTACCACAAGTCAAATCCTCCTATACTCAAATATCTATGATAAAGTTTAATTTCTAAATTAAACCAGTAACAGATTAATCACAAAAACTAGTAATAAAATAGGACAATTATGAGAATGTGCCAGCATCACTATTCTTTGTGCTTTGGGCTTTGGTGACATTATAAATGAGGGTTGCTTGAACATATGCATTGCAGTACCATGACAGTGGATCTGCCACCCAAGACAGCTACTAATGTCTAGCAGACAGTGTGGATACACTGGACCGAAGGATGATTCATGTTTTGGGTAGGACAGAGCAGGAAGGCATGAGATTTTATCACAGTACTCAGAACAGTATATAATTTACAACTTGAGAACTGTTTATTTCTGGAATTTTCCATGTAATATTTTCAAATCCAGGTTAACACAAGTGGAAAAGCACAAAAAGTGAAACCACATACAATAGGGGACTGCTGTGCTTTCCCTGTGTGGTTGCTGTGAAGCTCGCACAGGCATTAGCTGTGAAAGGGCTATTGAACCACATCCCAAACCTTTCTGCATATCTCAAGTCTGCTCTCCAGAGACATAGGTAACTATTATCTGAAATCCAGGTACAACAGTTCTAGAAAGAGGGTCCAAAAAAAGCAAGAACTCTCACTAGGCTGCTGTTTGCCCCAGTTTGTTGGGGAAGACTGACAAGGTAAGCCTAATAAAATTTTTCTCTGTGCTGTCTCATCAGGAGGGAGGCCAAGGCCTCAATTCACAGGTATTCTGACCTTAGACATTTATAAAAGACAACTGTTTGAAGGATGGCAGTCCTCTGATGGCACAGAGTCCATCCCCGTTTTACAGTCTGTCTCTTTGTCCCCGTAAGTACACTCACGATTCTATAACCACTGCTGATAGAACTTAAAAAAAAAAAAAAAAATACAAAGTCTCAAGGCAAATACTGAGTGCTTTTCTCTAACACCTGCTTTCAATTAGAAGTTTCTCCTTAAGAATATCACATTAGTGGTAATTATTTGTATTTGCATTCATGGGCTCCATGCCCAGGCTTTTGACCTTCATTTAAATAATAACGCCACTAACACATTCAACAAATACACACGAGCATTGGCTATTTGTCAGGCACTAGGTGACAGAAATACAGTTATAAATGAAACATAATCCTGCCTTCAATAAATTTTTGGTTTGTAGGAAATAAAGAAGTAAACAAGTGTGATGAGCAAAGCTCTGGGATTCGGATATCTGAAACTGTGAGCTCTGAAGAAAGTCACCTCTGTCAGACAACTGAGGTAAATAAGGCCCTTCTCTAATGCTGCCTATATCTTCTATTTCACTCTTTCTTATAAAAGGTATTTAAGCTTGACCATGGGCCCTTTCTTTGAGCTTGCACTAAAATGAATTCATATGCCTTTTGTCTTTTTTTTTTTTGGAGAGGTTTTCACTATAGGGCGTGTGCGCTTGCCAGACAGACAGAGAGAGACAGAGAGACAGAAAGCAAGAAATCACCCCCCAGGGGGAATGGTCACGCTGCAATCCCTTCTCCTCCATTCTCCTCTTGGGATCTTGGGCACGCACACACACGCGCCCAGCGTGAGTTTTAAGCCACCGGGTCTGGGACGTGAACCGCAGTCGACTATGTGGGAGCCCAGTGACATAGCCATTATGCTAACTGCTGGTTCCCTCTTTTGTCTTATTAATCTGTCTATTGTCAGTTTATTTCAGCAGACTTAATTATCAAACCTTCCGAGGGAGAAGAAAATTTCTTTTTACCTCTACACCATGAAGGATTTTATGAAGAAAATTACAGGATACAATTTTTATTTTATAGCAAACATTCTGGCTAACATTAATAATGGACTAGACTTGGAAAATGAAACTAGAAGGCAAGATATCAGAAAGAAAAATGAGCAAATATTTTCTGAATGGGTGAGGAGATATACCTAGAGTGATTAGAAATGAGGAACCAGGGGCCAGAATAGTAGACATTGGAATTGCTGGATGGGAAAGAGGGTAGACATCAAAAAGGTAGGTGTGGTGACTAATTAAAATGTGATGACAAAGCTTATTTAAAGGGAAAACTAGAATCCAAGGTGTCTTTCTAAATTAAAGTAAGCCTAAAATAATGCCATATAACAAGATGAGAACACAGGATAAAGGTTAGATTTTTAGAATTCAGACCCCCATTAAATAATGAGTTTCTAAACTTCGCAGGGTTCCTTCCAGTGACCAAGTTACATATAAGCAGGACTAGTGATAGTCATCAAACCCTTTGTAATGGTCTGAACTGGGACCCCCAAAATTCTTAGATTGGATCCCAACACCAATATCTCAGAATGTAACTGTATTTGAAGACAGATCCCTTAAAGAGATGATTAAGATGTGCCTTTGGGGTGTCCCTAATCCAATCTGACTGATAGCCTTATAAGAAGAGGAAGTTTAGATACACAGACACCAGAGACATATACAGAGGAAAGGCCATATGAGGCTATAGAGAGAAGACAGTCATCTGCAAGCCAAAGAGAAAGACCTTAGAAGAAACCAAACCTGCCAACACCTTGATCTTGGACTTCTAACTTTCAGAATAGTTTGAAAATACATTTCTCATGGTTAAACCACCAGTCTAGGAAATTTCGTATTGGCAGCCCTAGCAAATAAATACCACCTCTAAATAGGGCTTCTTGAATTCTGTTGTGCACAGGTGTCACCAGGAGCCTTGTTTAAATGAAGATTCTGACTTGGAAAGTTGAGAATGAAGCCTGAGATTCTGGATTTATGTCACTCTCAGGTAATGCTCATGCTGATGGTCAGGACCACACTTTGAGTAGCGAGATTCTAAACAATATTCCTCAAAATGCAATCAAGGGACTCCTTGAAGCCAAGTCACCGCAGAGCCTTAGTAAGCAGACAGATTTTTGAGTCTAGGCTTTCTGAATTAAAACTCTTAGGTCAGAATGTAGGCCCCAGGGATACACACTTTTAACAAACTCGTTAAGTAGTTTTGCGCCCACCCCACTTCTCAAGTAATTTTAAGAATTACTCTCCCAAAGCATTTTTAAGAATCATAGGCAAATTTAAGCTCTTGCTCATCTTCCACCTTGTCATTTTTCCCTTGAAAGCTGAGATGTGCTTTAAGGACACCAACCACTCCAGTGGCACCAATCCAGGGCCTCTTGTGAGAAAACTCTGTCTTTAGAATTTGGGAGGAAACCTTGTCAGGATCTGACACTAAGGATGAAGCTAAAAGCAGCTCACAGACACAAAGTAATTTGGAAAGAACCTCTTTGGTTTTTAAGCAGCTGCTTTTGTATATAAGGTGAAAGTTCAGGCTATAAAATCTAGAGGGAAAAGAATGTAATAGTATGTCCAGGTTTTTTTCTAATGAATGCAATTTGCTTCATTAACTGAGGCTTCCCAATGTCCTACAGGTAACTCTGGACAATGGTAAGTAGGTACAATTTGCCTGTTATTTGCCTTGCTCTTTTACAATAAGCTTCCCCTACCCTGTCAACTATCTCCTGCTCATTTCCAAAGCCCATCTTTGATTTCTAGTCCTCCCTCCCCACCGCCAGCTGTTCTGCTCCGCATGTACCCTCAAGCAGACCTACCCCAGACAAGAATGAGGCATGAAGTGTGGAAGTCTGGTCTCACTGTCAGAAGACTGGCTTCTGCCCCTTGTCCTCCCACTCTCCAGGCCTTAGGTCTCCTCTCGTGAGTCAGGTCATCTCTCTGCCTTCAATTTCTTCCTTTGTAAAATAAAGCAGAGCTAGATTATCCCTAAGATCGCTCAGTCGATAAAATACTTTGATTTTTATGAGAGAATCAAAATGAAGCTTTGAGTCGATTGCTGAATAAATTTCTCACTACTTTCCTTTGTAAACTTGCTTTGCCTCAACTTCTTATCCGTCAGAGTAGGCTAACATTACACTGGCAGGCTGGCTCAGCTTTATCTAACCAAGTTCTGATCAAAACGGGCCTCCAAAGTCAGCATTAGTCCATTCATGACTCAAGACTTTGTCCATTCCCCACCCAGCTTACCCCATGGAGACAGGAGATAAGGAAACACAAACTCATTTCTCTCTCTCTTTCTCTTTTTTTTTAAAGAGATATTTTTGCTATAGGGCACATGCACTCACCAGAGAGAGAAAAAGAGAGAAATTGCCCCCCAACACCCCGCCGGTGATTGTGATGACTGTACTGCAATCCCGTCTCCTCCAGTCTCCTCTCAGGATTTTGGGCAGACACAAACAAGCACCCAGCATGAGTTTTAAGCCATCGGGTCCAGGACTTAAACCGTGGTAGACTACATGGGAGGCCAATGACATAACCATTATGCCATCCGGTGGTCCCCAAACCCATCTCCCTTACAGTGTTACAGGACCTCATAACACCAAATGAAGGAAAGCAGAGATGTGGTTTCCTGGGGAGTGACCAGTATTGTAATGAAAGAGTAAGTGCTGCTCTTCACCTAAACTGGAAAAGCACTTACAATTTCACTGAGTCCCAGAGAATAACTGAGTAATAAAGAGTCTCTTTACCACTGAGTTGACACCATGTGTTCAAACTTCGTAGTAATATCCAGGATTTAGAGCTAGAACTTGCTTCCATTCAGGCTCTTTTAGTTACTTGGGTAATTTACCTTACTATCCTGAATCTTAGTTCCTTCTTTATAAAATGGAGTAATCCTCCCTTGGAATCATCAGGAAGATTACATGAAATTATACACATAAATCACTAGCAGTGCAAGGAGAAAAATAGCATTAAATAAATAAATGGTATGTGTCTATATATAGATATATGTGTGTATATAAATATGTATATATACACACACACATATTTATATACACACACACGTATGACATATATATCATGTTGCTCATCATAAAAGACTAAGCTAGGTTCCTTATTCCAAAATGTCAGATCTCTAAGACTGAGCTGACCTAAGCATAACAACTATTTCTAGCAAAGAGGCGTCTTAACACTTCAAAGAACAATCTGCCATCTAAAAGTGCAAGCTCTGCCGAATAAAAGGTACACCTAAACCCCTGATGTGGACATTCTGCAGTTGGCTTGTATGTCTTTAGCAGGGAGAGCAGTACTTTTCCTTTAATGAGCTCTTCCACAGTCTAGGGACACTGGGGGACCATTAGATTTTTCCTCTGCAAAGTGAACAAGGCTCGCGGTTCCATAGTAACCACAGCTGAATAATTCAAACTGAGAAGCTTACAAAATGGCAATTTACCTAAGAATGTTTTTATAGTCCCTTATATTATAATCCTAATGAAAGGGCTTCTCATCAAAGCTGTTATTATTCCAGGAAAAAAAAAAACACATTCATATATGCACACAAATACACGCACATACACATCCTATTTTCAGTATTTTCTCAGTAGAGTACTCTGAAAAAAGACTCTATGTGGACAATGTTACAGTCCCTCCCAATCCTTGAAATGGAGCTTCATTTTGAATTACAACACATCTGAGCCATAACTGGAGAGAGAGAGGAACAACTGCAATCAGCAGAATCACTGATTACTCCTGTAATGGCTGTCAGAAATGTACCTGTGGGCAGAAAGGGATTCGCATTAGCACAAAACATACACAGTCACTTTCCACTTGCTGTCTCTAGTACTCAAAGGCAGATCCATGGACCTCATACTTCAGAATCAGCTGAAAGGTTTTTATTTTATATTAGAGTTGGAGGTTCCACCCCCTGGAAGTTCTTATTCTCTATATATATAAAATACAACTCAGGAAGCAGTATTTTTTACAAAAATTTCTCTTGAATGATGTGCAGTAAAGATTGGCAGTCATTGCTTCTGTAGTCAGGGTATGTACCGTGCTCCCTGAACTAGGGATTACTTCCAGGAAAGGAAAAATTCACTCTGAATCTAAGGGATCAGCCCTTAAAATTCATGACTGAAGCAAAGATGGAGGAAATGTATCTTCATAGCAACGGTTTTCTCTGTAAATGCTGAGATCATTTCAAATTCAATTCTTAAGATGTGAAACAATCAGAACTAAGTTTTCTGTATTACTTAATGAACCAGAACTCAATTCTTTAAGAGCAAGAGGATAAAAACATATCAGGATTCCACTGTAAAGAATTAACTTCTTTTTGGATTGTTTGTTTCTGTTTGATAGAAGGTGCCTGTGCCTACCAGAAAGAGAGAGAGACAGAGAGAAAGGGAGAAGGAGAGGGAGAAAGCACCCCTCAATGGATGTGGTCACGTCACTATCCCTTCTCCACTTTTCTATCCTGTTGGGATTTGCGGCACGTAAGTACACATGCCCTATGTGAATTCTTTTTTTTTTTTCTATTTTGAGAGATTTTTGCTACAGCGTACATGTGTACTCACCAGAGAGACTTAGAGAAAGTGAGAAATCATCTCACAGGAGGGATAGCCACACTTCAATCTCTTCTCCTCCATTCTCCTTTCAGGATTTTGGGCACACCCATATACCCTCCCAGCATGAGTTTCAAGGTGCTGGTCCAGGACTTGAACCATCGCCAGCTACATGGGAGCCCAGTGCCTTAACCACTCTGCCACCCTGCTGTCCTCCCCCTCCCCTATGTGTATTTTAAATCCATGAGACCAGCTCCCTTAACCAATAGGCCACAGCATGGCCCAGAAATTAACTTCCAAAGTGCAGTCCAGGGCTTGTGTCTCACTTTCAGCTCCTACTGTGCAAGATTATCAGCTCATTAGCATGTTGACCCTAGGGCATTGCAGGACCCTGAATCTTCAGGGGGCATTCAATTATGTTCACCCAGTGTGCTAGTTGTTAGACCTGAAATGCTAACTCTCATCTTTATGTCAGACAGCCTTGGATTTCCTGCCTTCAAGAATGTCATCACCAAGCACAAAACTCCTGCGTCCAGTTCCCTGGAGAGTGTTTAAAATCTGAAATGAATAGGCCAACAACAGATGAATCAAAACACTAGTCCAAATAAAGAGCTAGTCAAAAAAATACAGGATCTATTATTTATAGGTAATAACATAGAGTAATTACAAAGGAGACCCCGGGTTTAAAATAAAAGTGATTCCATGGCTAATTGGCTGTGACAGAATAAGATCCTAGACTAAACACACAGAACAGGTAACAGAATTGATCTTGAAGATCAGCTGTCAGCAATCTACCTCAGCCTAGATCTGGGTCGAATCCTAAGTCACTTGGACAGGGAAGGGAAGAACACATAAATTAGACTTTTGGCTCTATTACAAAGCATTTTCTGGTTAATTCTTAGTTATCTATAAGATTCAACATGGAGCTGTGCTAGACACTGTACCTACCTCATTTGATTCACACAACATTAATAAGTAGTTCATTTTATCTCTGTTTTCCAGAGGAGAAAAACTGAGGCTCAGAGACACTAGGTAACTTTCTCATAGTCAAACATAAGTAACTTGTGAAAATGGAAGTTCAAAACTTTTTTTTAGTTCCTCAAACACCTTTATCTCTTTCTCTGTCAATGCTTTCTTCTTTTGTATCTATTGCAAAACGTGATCATAGATTCATTCTGTGATTATTTATTTAATCACTATCTCCCTTAGTAACCCATGGGTGCCATAGGGACAGGGATGTTGTGTTTTATTCTCTTCGCTTCACCTGCAATCCCGTCTCCTCCAGTCTCCTCTCAGGATTTTGGGCAGACACAAACAAGCACCCAGCATGAGTTTTAAGCCATCGGGTCCAGGACTTAAACCGTGGTAGACTACATGGGAGGCCAATGACATAACCATTATGCCATCCGGTGGTCCCCAAACCCATCTCCCTTACAGTGTTACAGGACCTCATAACACCAAATGAAGGAAAGCAGAGATGTGGTTTCCTGGGGAGTGACCAGTATTGTAATGAAAGAGTAAGTGCTGCTCTTCACCTAAACTGGAAAAGCACTTACAATTTCACTGAGTCCCAGAGAATAACTGAGTAATAAAGAGTCTCTTTACCACTGAGTTGACACCATGTGTTCAAACTTCGTAGTAATATCCAGGATTTAGAGCTAGAACTTGCTTCCATTCAGGCTCTTTTAGTTACTTGGGTAATTTACCTTACTATCCTGAATCTTAGTTCCTTCTTTATAAAATGGAGTAATCCTCCCTTGGAATCATCAGGAAGATTACATGAAATTATACACATAAATCACTAGCAGTGCAAGGAGAAAAATAGCATTAAATAAATAAATGGTATGTGTCTATATATAGATATATGTGTGTATATAAATATGTATATATACACACACACATATTTATATACACACACACGTATGACATATATATCATGTTGCTCATCATAAAAGACTAAGCTAGGTTCCTTATTCCAAAATGTCAGATCTCTAAGACTGAGCTGACCTAAGCATAACAACTATTTCTAGCAAAGAGGCGTCTTAACACTTCAAAGAACAATCTGCCATCTAAAAGTGCAAGCTCTGCCGAATAAAAGGTACACCTAAACCCCTGATGTGGACATTCTGCAGTTGGCTTGTATGTCTTTAGCAGGGAGAGCAGTACTTTTCCTTTAATGAGCTCTTCCACAGTCTAGGGACACTGGGGGACCATTAGATTTTTCCTCTGCAAAGTGAACAAGGCTCGCGGTTCCATAGTAACCACAGCTGAATAATTCAAACTGAGAAGCTTACAAAATGGCAATTTACCTAAGAATGTTTTTATAGTCCCTTATATTATAATCCTAATGAAAGGGCTTCTCATCAAAGCTGTTATTATTCCAGGAAAAAAAAAAACAC